CGGGGTTAGGCCAGGCACTTACCAACATATGGGGTCGGTTGTGCTGATACTACACTCTGCACTCTGTGCAGATATCGGAGAAGAACTTGGTCAGCAGTAGTAGGGGAGCCAGCCTTCAGTCCACCGAGACTCCAAGGTAGCCCTGCAGGCGTCCGTAGGCCTGGCGTCTCTTATATCAGTTTTTGATGTTCTGTTATCATTTGTACTCGAGACAAACTATGTTATTTCTTTCAGACACTTATTTGTAGTAATCATAGATAGTCCGTGAATGTTGTGACACCACTGGGTAGAGGCATATGTTGATTTTCGTATTATTTTGGTTTATTTTGTCTAAGTCTTCTGCTTAAATCTCATATTCTGTTGTATTTAAATGTTTATTATCAGGACTCCCGAGGGTAAAAAATCCGGGTCGTGACAAGTTGGTATAAGAGCTTTAGGTTACATAAGTCTTATAATTCATGGACAAGCTCAGTAGAGTCTGAGGGATCGGTACGGAGACGTCTATATTTATCCCCCAGATGCTACAAAGTTAGGAAAAACTTCACATTCATTCTTTTCTGTCGTGCGGTTTGGTTCCTCAATGCTGATTGAATCTCTACTATATTCCTTCGCAGATGGCGAGAACACGCAATTCCTCATCCATCGCTCAGCAGCCCGAGCCCCCAGTAGCAGCTCCCATGAAGGGCAGAGGGCGAGGCCGTACTAGAGGCCGAGGTAGGGGCATAGCTCAACCCAGAGCAGCAGCCCCAGTGACAGAGCCTCAGGTTGACTTTGATGATGAGGTTCCAGCCCCAGCAGCTCCGGTGGGCCCAACTCAAGTCCCAGAGGGGTTTATTGCTACCCTAGTTCTTCAGGACGCTCTGGTCCGATTAGTGAGCCTCATGGAGAGTGTCACCCGAGCAGGCTTGCTTCCTGTAGCATCGACCGTCTCTCAGTCTGGAGGAGAGGCCCAGACTCCTACTACTCGCACTCCGGAGCAGGTAGCTCCTCAGATTCAGACTCCAACGGTTCAGCCAGTTGGAGCAGTACAGCTGGGTGTGGTAGCTCAGACCGATGATGGAGCAGTTATGTCTACCGATGCTTTCTGGAGGCTGGATAGGTTCACCAAGCTCTTCACTACTACTTTCAGCGGTGCATCTACTGAGGATCCCCAGGATTATCTAGACAACTGCCACGAGGTTCTCAGGAACACGGGTATTGTTGAGACTAGTGGGGTTGATTTTGCTACATTTCGCTATTCTAGATCCGCCAAGACTTGGTGGAGGGATTTCTGCTTGGCCAGACCAGCCGGATCGCCATCATTGACTTGGGAGCAGTTCACACAGCTATTTCTGGAGAATTTTCTCCCCATTACGTAGAGAGAGGCCTATCAGAGGCAGTTTGAGTGCCTTCAGCAGGGTTCCATGACTGTTACCCAGTATGAGACCAGGTTCATCGATTTAGCTCGCCATGCTCTTTTCATACTTCCTACCGAGAGAGAGAGAGAGGGTGAGGAGGTTTATTATAAAACTCTTTCACATTTAAAATCTATAAGTATAGTTCTTTGAAACACTGTAGCTAGATTTGAATAAAATAAAATTCTTTTAAAATAAATGTAATATATAGGGTACACGTCTATGTTTATATAAATAACAAAAAAGAGTTTACAAAACCAAATAAAAGTTTACTTACATGTATAATAAAGTAAACATACATGCCGAAGAAAGAAATATCACAAAATCAGTCAATATTAAAAAAAAAGTTGTTTCTTTTTTCTTCTAGAAGAATATTTGTTTGAAGAGTCAATTTGAATAAATGGATATCAAACAAATAATAAAACTTTGGTTATATAATTGCTATCATTAATTTCAATTTAGCACATTCAAGAAATTGAAGGGTATAAGCTGAAACCCCTTCATTTAGCTGTAGTCAAGCAAATATTGCAAGGATATAATATTTTTTTCGTTGAAAAATATTAGTTTTGAATCATTATATTATGTGAAAGGTTTTTTTTTCAAACTCAACAAGAGATAAATTGGTTTCTAATTGATAGTTTCTATAGCGACTTTTAGGTGTAACAAAGAGTATATATAAAGAAAAAATTGGTATGACGTCAAATATTTTTCTTCAAAATGTAAACAAATTATTTCGAAAAAACTCTTTACTTTTTTTAATTCAAAGATAATAAAAAGATAAGATATTTTTGAACATTAGTAGAGAGTTTTAAAATTATTATAATAGAAGTTATATCATGGATAAACTCAAACCCAAAATTTTATGAAATATTTACATAATATCCGGTCATATTTATTGTTTACTTTTTATAGATAATATAAATAGATGATATACCGATAACACACAATTATACACATATTATATTTGGATTATATATAAATTACACGTCATTTAATTTTTTAATTTAAATGGTCGGGTGAGTACCTATTTAGGCTGATTAGATAAAGCCAAAAGAAAAATAAGAAATAATTTCAACCAAAGACTAAAAATATAATTAAAGTTCATATGTAGAATATATTTACTAAAAATCATCCTTTTATAGTGAAATAAATTAATTTTTTATAACAAAAGAAATAATGACATAAAAAATAAGATAAAAGAAAATAAATATTGAAAAAAATGTTAGAAAGATCTAAAAACGAGAAATAAAAGATGACAACAAATTTTTTCTTATGTTTCATCTTTTTTGAGTATAAAAAATTTGAAAGTTAATCTCATCGATTTCAAATATTTTTTTCTCAAGTCAAATAAATAGATTATAAGAAAAGGATATCTTAGAATATTTTTTTAATTTACATTATGTGTCGTTTTTAAAAAATCACTATTACTAACAAACTGATATGACATTCGAATTTGAATTAGAATGCAATTTGAGTAGTTTGCATTGAGATTAAGCCAATTATGGTGTCGAAAAATAAACTACTTGACAATTTTATGATAATATATGCAATATTTTATAATAATAATCAACTAATTTAACATTTAATAATTCAAAGAACAAATTTTTTGTATATATAGGGTATTAAAAATTTAAATTCTGGGGCTAGAGATATCGATAAACTTAAAGTTGAGTCATACTGAAATAAATTCAGCCAAAGAATCATTTAAATTTTTAGATAGCCGATTAAAGTGAATTTATATTAAGGATAATATCTTCACTTGCATCATTAGAAAGATAATCATTATTATAATATATATAAAGTTTTAGAAATTGAAATTTCAAAATAGAAAATTTTTTTGAAAGATAAAATCATACCAAATAAGAGTTCAAGTCGTAGTATAAGAGTCACGTCATAATCAAAGAATCGTTTATATCGTGTCAACCTTTGTGCTTTGCTATAAATTAAATATGAGTTATTATTTCACTATGTGGCTATTTTTAGCCAATGACACTTATGAGAATAGTATAAAAATAAAATTATCACTACGAGAATTGAGAAAATGTTAGTCTTTTTTCATGTAGTGTTTCTTAATTAATATCTGACGATTATCTATAATTATTTAGAAGGTCTAAATGTTAAGGCTATTTACATATAATTCAAATAACTGATATATTTAACATGGTTAATGTCAAATATCAAAATGGAGTAAAAACAATTCACTAGCTCAAGAATTTTTTATATTTTTAGATAGCCAACTAAAATGAGTTTTGAATTAAGAATAATATTTTTAATTACATTATTATAAAAATAATTATTATTGAAAAATAATATTTTAGAAACTAAAATTTTAAGAAAGGAATATTTTTTAAGAGATATCAACACACTAAATAAGAGTTCAAGTAGTAGTAAAAGAGTTAAGTATTATCCAAAAAGTCATTCATTGTCTCAACATTTGATTATTTTGCAATAAATATGAGTTATTATTTGCTTCCTGAATATTTTTAGGATCCAATGATACTTGCAAGAATGGTATCAAAAAGGAAAAATAGAAAAAATGGTTAATTTTTTTTCATGTAGTTAATATCCAATGATTATCTATATTTACTGAGAAAGTGTAAATTTTAAAATTATTTACTTACAATCCTTATAACTTAAATATTTGACATAATTAATGTCCGCGCATCCGCACAGGTACTAATACTAGTCATGATAACAAATGGATTTCTTATTAAATTAAGAAAACCAAGAAAAATACCAAACGTTCCAACTTCCACGTTGAGGATATTTTGGCACGTGACTGTTGTCAGTTTCCAAATCACAAAAAACAATCGTCTCCCATTTCCATTGGGTAGCCATTTCTTCTCGAAACTCCAATCTTCTTGTTGTAAATAAAAAATAATCGTAATTCTTTGCCAATTGCCATTGTTTTTCTCCTTCATTCATTCAATCATCGAGTCACTGCTGTACTTTTTATATATATATGTACAGTAAGATGGGCAGCACGTGCTATTCTGCTTATTCCATCCAATCACTTAACCCCACGTGTCCCTCTTCCCTTATCTTCACTCTCCATAAACCCCAGTTGCAACAGACTCACAATATCAAAGAAACAACAAGAAGAAGAAGTGTTAGAAGTTGTAATAGTAATACTAGAACAAGAAGAAGAATGACAGGTGTTGCTGCAATGAATGCTGTGTCAACACCAGAAGTTGATGTACAGAATCAACAGGAGTTGAAAAAAGGAATAGCAGAATTATATGATGAGTCATCAGGGATTTGGGAAGATATATGGGGTGACCATATGCATCATGGATTTTATGAACCTCAATCATCTGTTTCACTTTCTGATCATCGTGCTGCTCAGATCCGTATGATTGAAGAGGCTCTACGTTTTGCTTCTGTTTCTGGTAAATGGGCTTCTTTTTCTTTGATAGTTTTGCGCAGCACGCCTTCGACTTGAATTGAACTATATATATTTAGTTGTGAAGTTTTGAAGAATATAATATTATTGTTAATCTGAATATAGTTGTTGTTTTGTACTTAAATCTTGAAATGTGTCTCTAGTTTTAGACCCTTTTACTGTTATTGATTTAAAAGGTTGGATTTTTTGGAAGAAAGGAAAGGCCTTTGACTTTGTGTCCAAGAAATTGGGAAACAGAAGTTTTGAAGACAAAAGGGGTGAAGGATACTGTTAGTTACCTTAAAAAGAGGGTGAATGGGAAATGGAGAGAAATGAAAATTTTGAGTAAAATTTTAAGTTTCCCTTTCTTTTTAATGAGACATTGTCCCTCATTGGTAGAGGAAAAGGAGTTTGGTGAGTTTATATACAAATGCACTTTATGTAGCTCTTAAAGAGTTAGGAAGAAGTCAAGCCTCGCGCCGTCGTCGCTCGGCTTCGGCTTCGGATTTGGTCAAATGGTCGATTAATTGATTAATTTTTTGGACCAAATTTATTTGTTAATAGTAGATATTAACGTAATATTATCCGTGTTTGTAACGGATATGTTCCAATCCGTGTATTGTACCACCAGTTGCAATAGCAGCCGCATAGTGCTCCTCCCACCATGGCTAAGTGCTTGCTCCATAACAAGCTAGTGCATGCTCCATCATGGAAGGGGGCGGGTCTCACAACTGACTGCTATAAATATGAGCAGCAGCAGTTGGAGAATGACACACAAAAAAAAAATAGAATTGAGAGCTATTGATCTTCTCTTCACCGAAAACTCAACGTTGGCTATAATTTGCATTCCTTCTTCTCAGAATTTCCATTCGACTTTTGAGTTCTCCTCCCTTGTTCTGCATTGTTTTAAACTACAAACAAAGCAACCGTAAGTGTGATTTGCTGCCGAACTTTGTGTTCGCTGAAACACTGGGGTTTGAAGTACCGCTACACCAGTGTGTAATTCGTTCTATCCTGGGAGGAAATAATCCATAACCTTGGGTACTAGGAGGGGATTAAATTCCTTAAGGAAACACTGTGGATTCAGTGAGCTCGAATTAATTTCTGTTTCATTTATATCATTTATATTTACGTTTATAAGCTAACGTTCTAATTTCCAGAATCATTATTTACAAATATAGGTTTACCAACAGATACTATATGTATTTAGATTATGGGGAAGAGGCTTAACTTTTTTTCTTGTTTCAGTTCTGAATATATTGATAGTAACAGCTAAATGTGATGTCCTGTTATAACCTACAAACATTGACTGTGTTGTTTGTTAAGGAAATACCTATTTGGATTTTGTTTTATGTCTCTAGGGGCCAGATATTCGATTTTGGGTTGTGCAATATTGAGTAAGTTTACTTGTCACTTTTGAAAAGATGAGCTCTACATTTTTGCTATTTGTGCTATCTTACATGACGCAAGAATCTGACAATTGCTGTATGTCACGACCCTAACCCCGAATCCGGTCGTGATGGCGCCTCTCGTAAAGACAAGGCCAGCCAATTTAACACAATTCACCATTTTAAGCAGTTAAATAATATAAAGATACTTTAAACATGATTTAATAGCAATATTTAGCGGAAATAAAGATAACAAAATGGAAACCCAACCCGACACAGCCCTAACCGGGGTGTCACAAGTCATGAGTAACTAAGGATCCTAATACAAGTCTACTAAATACGATATCTGGTACAACTGTTTGAAGAACATAGAAATAATGAGATAAGAGAGACACGGGGGCTGCGGACGCCAACAGCTACCTCGTAGTCTCCGAAACACCGCCTGGACTGGAAGGATCAGCACTCAGGAGGGGGACCTATTACGCCTGAATCTGCACGCACGGTGCAGGGAGTAATGTGAGTACTCCGACCTAGTGAGTAATAAATATAAATAATGACTGGAAGTAAGAAAACACGTAAAACACAAGGCATTCTATACCGAAGCAGTAAAATCACTTAAAATCAGTAAATCAGTGAAGAATCAAGTAAAATCCCTTTTTCAGCAGGTAAAACAAGTAATTAACAGGTAAATAACAAGAAAAAGTTCGCCCCTCGGGCACAGTATCAACAAAACCGCCCCTCGGGCAACATCTCAGAACAGTACCAGCCCCTCGGGCTCAATCTCAGAACAGTGCTAGCCCCTCTGGCTCAATCTCAGAACAGTGCCAGCCCCTCGGACTAAATCGCACATCACAATGGGTACCCGCGCTCACTGGGGGTGTACAGACTCTGGGAGGGCCACCTTACGGCCCAAGCGCAATATCAAGCCATCTCGTGGCATCAAATCTAGGCCCTCGGCCTCATGTCAATCAAGCCACCTCGTGGCGTATATATGTATCTCGGGCCCTCAGCCTCATATTAGTATCAATGTATCCTCACATCTGGCTCTCGGCCGTACTCAGTCCGAAAATCATCACAATCTGCTCGGGCATTAGTAGAACAATATTTCTCGGCCCAAAACATCATTTAAAATATCATTTAAGTCTCAAAATTGAGTAAAAATGGCTGAGTAGTAAAACAGTGGAAAATAGCATGACTGAGTTCAAGTAATAAGTCAAAACAGTGAGGAAATAGTGATAAAAATCCCCGAAGGGTTCGAATAGTTGGCACGAAACCCAAATATGGCAATCAACCCAAATCATGATGATAGCAAATAAGTTTCAGTCAAATACGCAGTAAAATCATCAATCGGGACGGACCAAGTCACAATCCCCAATAGTGCACGACCCCACGCTCGTCATCAAGTGTGTGTCTCACCTCAATATAGCACTACGATGTGCAATCTGAGGTTTCAAACCCTCAAAGCATCATTTACAATCATTACTCACCTCGAACCGGCTAAATCTCTAG